CTGATTTGGAGGGCTTCCTGCATTCCAGGCACAGAGGCTGCATTGTATGTAGTTTGTTTCATTTCTTGTGTTTTGTTTCCCTATCATTACAAGTCACATTATCATTGCCAATAGAAATGGAAGACCCTGTAATGTTAACAGAATCTGAGTAGGTTTTTGGGTAAAACTGATTACAGACAGAGAGCACTGAATACCAGTCCCTGTAGATTGTCCCTTTAACAACCCAATCTAGTATTTCACATTGCTGGCACTTCAGGAAAAGATGCCTGTGCTCTTTCTTTTGGGGTTTTCTGTTAGTGTTACGGAATGAAGCAGTAAGTGACACACAGAGAAGGAGCAGAATGGAAGTAAAATAACATTTATTAAGCGATAAGGATTGATCACACATAAGCCGTACCTGGATCCATGATACATTGGGTTACAACTCCTCCTTTTGTAGGGTTTCACAGCATTGACTTCATTTGGGTGGTTTCATTTCATTCTCATAGTTCAAATCTTGGTCACAGAATAGTTAATCTTCTCAATCCAGACGTATCAGTTCTTCACAGTTGGGGAGTTTACTTTTAAGATTTGCTTACTTATCTATTCTTGTCCACAGGAAAGGGGATGTTCAGGGTCAGGGGAGCAAAAGTTACCAATGGGTTCTTTCATCTTGATGCTTTTACTACCATGTGGTTCCAGTCTCTTAGGATCTCAAGACCTTGATGTGCCCTGTTATCTCAGGGTAAGACCAAACACCACATTCAGCGATTAGTACTTTCAGTGCCTATTCGTTCTGAGCTAAACAAAGCAAACTGCTGTTAGAGACAGCAGAAGCCATTTTACATTGTAACACTTTATAGGTTTGTGTTATTTATAAAAATTTTCCGTCATTAGCACACAGAACAGAGCAGGGTGTGGCACCAGGACTGAAGTAGGTCAGAAGCAAAGACTAAAAAAGAGCATACACTTGCTAGTACAGCACATATTTCACTCCTGCTACCAGTGCACTATACTCTATCATCTTTCCACATGCTTTTTGTGCATGCGGTTATTTCATACAATATCTCTTAGGGACATAAAAGGTCTGGGTCAAATTTCCACTTCTCGAGAAGAGGGTTAAATAGTGTATCTCATGTTCTTGTGGTTAAAACTGCATTACATCTGCCTAAACATTTCTGTTGCTTAGGAAACAGTGAAATTTGCAGTTCATTGGAAAGAATGTGTGAGATTAATTTTTGATCTTTTCAATTCCACTTATTAAGTCTGTGATACAGGAGAGGTCATCAGTATCTCTGGGACAGAACATTGTCATTTGAGTTGCTTTGCAGTTGGCACAACTGCCCTGTGTATGGGTTAAAAAGTAACAAAGAGCTTGGACTGGAGGTGCCATTTGACCCAGCCATCCCCCTGTTGGGTATCTTTCCAAGAGAACTAAAAGAATCATATCACAGAGAAGTATGCACACCCATGTTTATAGCGGCACAGTTTGTAATAGCTAAATCTTGGAAACAACCTATTTGCCCATCCGTTGGAAACTGGATAAAGAAGTTGTGGTTTTTCTATAAAATGGAATATTACTCAGCCATAAAGAGCGAGAGAATAGATTCATTCATAGGAAAATGGATACATATTGAAGATATACTCCTAAGTGAAATAAATAAGTCCCACATGTGTAAATACCAAATAGTTTCCCTGGTGTGAATATTCTGCAACAATGCATAAGATTCTAATAAGATTACTGACATTTAGAAATGGGAGGAAAGGAGCTAAAGGTGTAGGGAAGGTGTGATACATAGGGGAAGAACAAAAAGGGAAAAGAAAAAAATGTGAGAGAATGAAAAGATGAAAATAAAGTGTTTGTAGATGGGGAGGGGAGGAGGGGGTGAAGGGAGGGCAGAGGTAAGGGGAAAAAATGAGAATCAAGACTTGCCATGTAAAGGTACATGATCCCAACAATGAATGTAACTGTACTGTATCCCTAAATGTACCAATAAACTCAATAAAAAAAAAGTAACAATTGCTCCACATGGGGTTAATATATGTAATATCAAATTAGGGAAAATAGAATGTAGGTTTAAAAATTGTTGATTACAAGATCTTAGTATTATTCAATAACTCTATGATCTGAGCTTACCATTTTCCTACTTTTGCAATGGACATTCTATTTTTGTTTGTAATTATATGCATCTATTTGGAGAGAAATAATGTATTATTCCTTACATCTGACTCTCCACAGTATATACTTTGTTCAAGAGGCATCCTTGATTTAAAGAAAATGTCTTTCAAATACTGAATGGACCCTCTCTTGTTTACAAGAGACACAATAACTGTCATAGACCAGCACGCCTTTGACCTACTTGGTATATTCTCTCCACACATGCATTCCTTTTCATGACTGCTCCATAGAGGTACAGAAACATAAAACAGCTCATGTGTGTGTCATGTGTGTGTCCTTAATTAAGTACATGTATATCTACCATTTGAGGGAATGCAGAGATATTCATCACAAAAAAAAAACACACAGCACAAAAAATTGTGCAGGTCAAGCTGTGTCTAAGGCTGAGACAAATGTTAGAGCGTCACACCATTCCATGTTTCAGGGCCACTTGAATACTTTTTACCATATCATTTCTTGTGCATAGTGATGTTTCTTTATTTTAGAAACAAAAACAGTGACTGAATTCTGAAGTTCTGAACTTCTTATCATTGTCACATCTGTGGAGATGGGTGTAATTCTTTTGATTTTCCTTAAGTAGCATCAGCACAGAGCGGGGGATAGATTCACCCATATTCTACCTCTTGAAACAGGTCAGTAATATGGAAATAAATGTTCATTTCTGACTCCCATCCCAGAGCAATCTTCTCCACCATAGACTAATGGAAACATAATATTCTATATGATGATAATATTTCCTTTATTTTAATAAATACATCATTGTACCACATACTCTAGAAATATTCCTATAAAGTATCTTCACAGTAAAAGGTTGTAAGTGATAATGCAGGGTATTGTTTTGCAAAATAAATATAATTGAAGAATTGTGAAATTTGATATATATTAAGCTTTAGAAATCAGAATTATGCCTAGTGAATAATTTATACAGATTTTTAATAAGTGACTGGGAAGTTTTCACAATGAATTTAGAAATTAAAAGAGGTCATTCTCCAAGGTAAGGCTTGGCATCAATTAAAATATTTACATTAGATCTGTGTTCCTCTCAGGAAAATTTACAAATAGTTGCTCATGGAACCTATTCCATTTCAGATTCAACAGGTATCACTGTTGTAAACTTCTTTAATGAGTTTTAGGTATTTTGTGGTAAGGTTTTGGAAACTTTGATAGGAAAATGATGTACTTAAGAAATCTATGATAGTAAAAGCTCATGGGAACAATTGTTCAAGAGAATGAAATCATGTACAGATACAAAAAAATGCCAACATTTAGATCACTTTCTGGATCTCTATAAATTATTAGTTTTGATGTTCACCTTTTAAAATTTTCGTGTTAATAGATGGTGGTTATTATTTGCTATCATATTAGATAATAACATTGAAGCATTTTCTGAATGCCAGGAAATATTCTATGACAGTGGTTCTCAATGGTGTTTTACAAAATATCAAAAAAAATTTCAATGCATGTATTATCATTACATTACTTTTGGTCTGAGATCTGAGTATCTAGACTTTAAAAAAGTCTCCAAGCAAATCTATACATTAATTATACAGAACCAGTGTTTATTTAATTTAAAAGAAAATAATTAGTACAACCATATAAGGTAGATAATCATTTTATCCATGAGATGCCATTGCATTGTGTGTAGAGGTATTTGCATTACTTTAAGTACATTTTTCTTTTGCTGGTATAATTGCAATTATGTATAAATTATTTAACTTCCTTTTCTGTTTGGCATGTTTTCCAATAATTTATACTGTGGCCTAAAAAAAGACAACATACCTAAGAAATTTCTTCCATGTGGCAGAAAGAGGAGACTGGTAGTACAGCAATCAGTCCTCTACTGTAAGAGGATCAGGAAAACAGTAAATTATATTACCATGCTAGTGTAGAATTCAGAAATGATGAAAAGACAGTGTCTTACAAACCACATATTTTATTGACACTGTAAAGTGCTGCTTAAAATAATTCTCTACAACCTTAAAGATGTCACAGGTAATTATAAATTATCATTTATAATTATTTGAATCATCAATAGTTGAAAGTGCACCAATATCACATTTGTGGTCTGGATATTCTTATATCATTTAAGCTTGACTGAAGTATTATTGTAGAAAATGTAAGTGCACTTAAACTGAGGATAGAAATTATGGTAAAATTTACCTAAAAGGTTTCATTGCCTGCCTTATAAGCAAAAGGACCTGAGTTCTATCCACAGTGTCCCCCCAAAAAAGAAATCATTGTAAATTTTTAATGTGGAACAAAGTTTGAAAGAGTAATTACATTCTTCAAAGGGAAAAACTGGAAATCCAAGATTAATGAAAAACTCCTCAGAGACAACTGGATCTCAGCATAATATGTTCCAATTATGATACATCAGTTTTAATTTAATATTCAGATAATAAAATTCTAGATCTTAATACTTACCTCTACCCCAAATCAAGGTACTTGGTATTATTTTATGAAAAAAGGTATATTGAGTGCTTCTTAATTTCACTGCAATAGAATATTTTTTTCTTTTAGGGGAATGGCTCTACTTTCTTTTATTTTTCTTAAAAGAGTTGGATGTATTTCACTGGAATTGTGATGTTCTGAAGTATAAAGCACCGTTATTTAGAAGAATGCTTCTACAGTAAGTGTGTACAGATGGAGAAGGATAACAAAAATGTCAATCATGAAAATGTCTTGAGGAATTGGCTTTTCCATAATTGAGTAGTGTTGGTAAAGGCTTTGGACTTCAATTATTAGTACTTTATCTGTGAATATTTCAAAAGAAAATGTGTATTACCATTTGTCTGTTTTACTTTTCTAATGACATTTATTTTTGAAAAGTTGCTCAAAAAACATGAAAACACAGAATCTCACAAATTTCTCTGAATTCCATCTCCTGGGCTTCTCAGAAGACCCAAACCTGCAGCTCATCGTCTTTGGACTGTTTCTGTCCATGTACCTGGTCACAGTGCTCGGGAACCTGCTCATCATCCTGGCTGTCATCTCTGACTCTCACCTCCACACCCCCATGTACTTCTTCCTCTCCAACCTGTCCTTCACTGACATCTGCTTCATCTCCACCACAGTCCCAAAGATGATTGTGGACATCCTAACTCAGAACAGAGTCATCTCCTATGAGGACTGCCTGACACAGATGTCTTTCTATGTTTTATTTGGATGTATGGATTACATGCTCCTGACTGTGATGGGTTATGACCGGTTTGTGGCAATCTGTTACCCGCTACATTACCCCACCATTATGAACCCTTCCTCCTCTGCCTCCTTACTCTTGGTGTCTTTCTTAGTTAGTGTTTTGGACTCACAGACACACAACATGATTGCCTTACAATTTACCTGCTTCAAGGATGTGGAAATTGCTAATTTCTTCTGTGAGCCTTCTCAAATCTTTAACCATAACTGTTCAGATCCCTTTACCAATACTATATTAATGTATTTATTTATTTTTCTATTTGCTTTCTTTCCTATCTCATGGAATCTTTACTCTTACTATAAAATTATTTCTTCCATTCTGAAAGTTCCATCATCAGGTGGAAGGCATAAAGCCTTCTCTACCTGTTGGTCTCACCTGTCAGTTGTTTGCTTATTTTATGGAACAGGCATTGGAGTGTATTTGGGTTCAGCTGTGTTACAATCTCCGGGGAAGGGTATGGTGGCCTCACTGATGTACACTGTGGTCACTCCTATGTTGAATCCCTTTATCTACAGCCTGCGGAACAGGGACATGCATAGTGCCCTGAAGAGACTCTACAGAATAACAGTCTGAGATAAAAATGTTGCCATCCATTGGGAATGTGACAGATGAGAGAAGGAGTGAAGGAAAGGAAAAGTAAGGATCGATATGTTGTACATGAACTTTATTCTCTCCTATACTCTGGTCAAAAGAAAAGGTGGGTGAGAACTGAATAAATTAAAATGTTAGCTCCACATGTTACATATTACAGTAATAGTAATAAAAAGTGAGAAAAGGAATATAAAGCAAAAATGAACACCTAGGCCTCTAAATTTGGATTCTCAGTTACACTATATTTGAGGTTTGATGGTTTTAACTCCTCATCATATTTCATAGTAGAAAGTAGGTTAAGAGTCGGGAGCTGCAGAAACTTTATTTTTAAAAATTAATATACATATTTATTTTTGGAAAATGTAAAATTTATAGAGATGGAGGAGAGTGTTTGTTGTAGAAAAATGTCAACACAATTAATGCCAGAAAATTGCACATCAAAGTGGTTAAAATAATATCTTATGGTAATGTATATTTCCCTAATAAACATTGTAAACAATAAGTGACTTTTTTAAAAAGGGAAAAAATTAGCAGAGTGATTAATGTGCCTGATGCTCACCCCCAATACCAGAACAACCTAAATCCTTTTGTGGTTCCTTCTTCTTCCACTCTTATTCAGAAATCCCTAGAGAATGAGATAATATGAATCAATTGGGGTTATTATCCACTCTGTACATGGGATTTCAAGTTTGTACAATAATCAATAATCAGTCTGTAGCTGCAGCCTTTCATGCTTTATAGTTATAGATCCAGGTTTCTCAAGTCTATGTCCCTCCGCTCTGTGGTTGTCTGCATTAGGACACCCACATCTGCAAATGCACTGATATAATCCTGAAGGGAGAGATTGCATTGTCACTGTGCCTCAGGAAAGTGAGGGGTGTTGGACTGCAGTTTGTGCTCTTTACTCAACAGAGAGACAGTTTGAGCTGAAATACGTGGAGAGTGAGGATGGAGGGAGGTTGGACTATGGGATCTACTGTTTCCTCAGCATCAAGGCAATCATGAATCCTTAAGTAACCCAAGGATGAAGATATGCAAAGTTTCAACTGCAAGGATGGTGAAGTTTATATACGTGGATTTTGAAAAGATGGGAATAACAAACTCACTAACTGATGTTCTTTCCTCAGGGAATGCTGTGTATCACATAAAGAATTTCATTTCATATATGTATTTCACAGAGGGCTTTACAGCCACTTGTGAATGTAAAGTACTATATGGAACTTGAGTTGTTACATTGTAGACAATGTAGTTAAGGTATAGGCACATTTTTATCCTTAGTATGTTTATAGGCACATTTTAGGTATTCAATACATTTTACATTCATCATCAGGATCTTGTACCTTTAAGTGACTTATCTTGATTCTTATGTTTTCTTTATAGGTAAGATTTTTTTAAAAAAATCTGCGAATGCACAAAGTTATACTGACCTCTATATACTGATATTAAAAAGTGCCCTCACTTTAAATACTGAATACTTTCTCTGGTGTGAAAATCTAAACGTGTAAATAAGATCCAAATAATATAATTGACAATGTGAAACAGAAAGAAAAGGGCTAAAAGTGTAGCAGGAAGTGGGAAGGATAGGAGAAAGGAAATAAGGGAAAAGAAAAAAAATATCAGAAAATGAAAAAATGGGTATAAAGTTTTTGTAAATAGGGAAGAGAGGAGGGGGTAAAGCGGGCAGGGATAAGGAGAAAAAATGAGAACCAAGACCTGTCATGTAAAGGTACAAGATCCCAGTGATGAATGTAACTGTGATATATTCATAAAAAGTACCAAGAAACTCAATTAGAAAAAAATATATATATATATACCTTCAGAATCCATGGCAACATCTTATTTTGGGGATAAATGTATGCAGTAGAATGGAGTCATGCAGAGATACAGAGCTCAACTTTCATAGTTGGTCATTTAAATCACTCTAAAATATTGGCTCTACAACACATCTTACTACATTTTTTAAATTTATTTTTGTATCTTTTTTCAGCTTTGAGTTTATTGGTACATTGTAGGGATACAGTACAGTTACATTAATTGTTGGTATCTTGTACCTTTACATGACAGGTCTTGGTTCTCATTTTTCCCCTTGTCCCTGCCCTCCCTTCACCCTCTCCTCCCTTCCACATCTACAAACACTTTATTTCCATCTTTTCATTATCTCACATTTTTTTCTTTTCCCTTATTACACTTCCCCTAGCCATCCCACCTTCCCTTCACCTTTAGCCCCTTTCTTCCCATTTCACAATGTCAGTAATCTTATTATGATCTTAGGTATTATTGCAGTTTACTCATATCAGAGAAACTCTTCCGTATCTACACATGACTCCTAAGTGAAATAAATAAGTCTACATTTTTATTTTTAAGATATATTAGTAGTAGCCATGTTCATAGGTCATTCTGTTTCATTTCTAAAATTCAGGAAGTATTTGAAGACTCTGTCCAATGTGCAATAGGAAACTATCACTATTAATTTAACAAGTAGATATTCTGAAAAAAAAGGCTTTGTTCAAGGTTAGGCTACCTTGATATGTAAAAGAAAACACAAGAAAATATATTCATAAACAAGACTATTAGTAGTCTATGGTATTAGAAATATTTTAAACCATTTTACTTTAACACTGTTTGCTAGGTGATTGCTATCTATTTTATAGACACTGCTTAATTTTTTTACATTTTTTGATAGATTTCTCTGCATTTTTCTCAAGTATTCATAGTGCAAAATGATCAAATAATAAACCAAGCTTGACTTCAAGTGGCCTGGATTGGACAATTGCAATCTGTATAAAAGAAAGAATGGATGTAAAAAAATCTACTAAACAACATAAGAATAGTGGGACTAACTTGCACTTTGGAATATAACCTGGAACTAAAGATTTGAGTCATACATAAGTGAGTTTTATAATCAGAAAAAAAACTAAAAGCAGATCTCAATGACTAATGACAATGCACCGTATGCCAATAAACTCAATGGGAAAAAAGTAAATAAATAAATAAAATAAAAGCAGTTATCCATCCCAGGTCACTCGGTAAACAATAAAGATGTGTTCCCTATTGGATACTTTATTGAGCTAGAATGGAATTGATACAAAAAAAACTTGTGTAAAATAAAAAATAACTTCAAATGTATTTCAAAACACAGCATTATTTTTCATCACTGTCAGTGCAATGTACACCACAGCCACATTTATGGTCAATAATGCTTTTGGTTATGTGGACTTAGCTTAAATTTATTAAAAATAAAAGTCCACTAAAGTTAGATGAAATAATTTTCAAAATGCAAACAAAATTTGATGGAGGACTTCATTCATAAGAGAAAGAAATCAGAAAGACACAAGAAGTTGAAAACTCTGGACAGAAGACCAGTTCATAATGTTTTCTGACATCAAATTTAATTGATAATTTTAAATTAAATAACCATTAAGTAATGATATTAAATGAATAATTAATTAAGTAACTATAATAAGATAACCATGTATTAGCATCCATTATTAAGGCATTCTAAGTGCTAGGATCTCAATTATGGTTTTCATATATGCTGAATTTTTCATCTATCCAGTAAGAAACAGAGAAATTAATAAGATACTTTAAGGACAGATGCCTAGTCCCTGAAATGAATGCAAATTTTGTGTACTACAAAAATGTGCTATTAACAAATAAATGTTAGATACACGAAAAGTGGTGCACTGAGGTGGCTCTAAAGATCAGTCTACTGTCAAGACTGCCTTCCAGTAGGGATGTAGGATATAAAAGACTGAAAAGGAACCATATAGAACTCTATACTTGTCCTTCATTTTCCTTCTTTCTTTCTTTTCTTTTTTTTTTTCACCAGGGATTGAACTTGGGTCCTAATTCTTTGCACCTTGCCTTCTTGTGCATAGTATGTTTGCATATTGGTACCTTCATTCTTCATCATGGCTCATAGTAGAATGAGTGTAGAAGGTTTTAAAATATGTAAAAAGTACTAGTCAGAAGATGAAAAATTTCTGGAGTTGGGTGATAGTATTGATCATTACACAGTGATGTGCCTGTCATTACTGTCCCTGAATTCTGCAGTTAAAATGGTTTAATTGGCCATGCTTTGTTTTTTACATGTTACCAAAGTAAAGTGAAAAAATTGGATGGTTCTTAGAAAAAAGAGGTGGATATTGTGCACAAGATTCTTTTTGAATGCAGGAAAGGTCCAACATGTCTATGGACACTTATTTTCCTTCTTTTTTCACTACAATTAGGAAGTCCTTAGAGATATGGATAGAATGGAACAATTTGTCTAAATTAGCTCTGTGCAATGAAACACCAAACGCAGGTTATGATGAACAGGCTGCTTTCTAAGCTCTCTCAATGGTTTATGAATATCACTTTGAGGACAAGGATGAGGATAAGAACAATGTATACATTATGATCTGTGTTGGAACTCTTTCGAAATTTCAGACTTTATTTATATGTTTCATATAATTTGTTTCTTTTCCTCTATACACTCTTCCACTTGTTTTAAACAATTCTAATATTACCTTAGAGAAAATACAAGAACATGACATTTGAATTAACTTGCATCAGCCATTAAATAGAAATGAAGGAACCTGTTTTTCATTTGTTTGTTTGTTTGTTTAACTGATACGTTGGATTCCATATACAATGCATGTCGCCTGCAAATGTGGGCAGAATATTCTTTTGAAATAACGATGATTTATTTTATTGCTCTGTTGTTCAAGCAAAGATATCTTGCTCCCTTGTGCTCTTGCTGTAGGGCCTCCTGGAAGATCATGGAATAGATTATTTTGTAACACCTGCTATATCCACTATATGAAAAAGAGGGTTAGATCACAGGCACACTAGAAAAAAAAAGAAAGCAGACACTTGACAGTTCAGGACAGTTCTGACTTTGGTCTCCAAGACAAGATATCCTTGCCACCATCTACATCTTCTGTCATTGTTTTTATCAGTCTACACAACTTCAAAAAGATTACCTAAAGTAATGTTTACAT